ACGGGGCACTATTCCTCCCCCCACTGACACCAACGATGGGGCACTATTCCTCCCCCCACTGACACCAACGATGGGGCACTATTCCTCCCACTGACACCAACGATGGGGCACTATTCCTCCCACTGACACCAACGATGGGGCACTGTTCCTCCCACTGACACCAATGATGAGGCACTATTCCTCCCAATGACACCCACAATGGGGCACTATTCCTCCCACTGACACCCACAATGGGGCACTATTCCTCCCACTGACACCAATGATGGGGCACTATTCCTCCCACTGACACCAATGATGGGGCACTATTCCTCCCACTGACACCAACGATGGGGCACTATTCCTCCCACTGACACCAACGATGGGGCACTATTCCTCCCCCCACTGACACCAACGATGGGGCACTATTCCTCCCACTGACACCAACGATGGGGCACTATTCCTCCCACTGACACCAACGATGGGGCACTGTTCCTCCCACTGACACCAATGATGAGGCACTATTCCTCCCAATGACACCCACAATGGGGCACTATTCCTCCCACTGACACCCACAATGGGGCACTATTCCTCCCACTGACACCAATGATGGGGCACTATTCCTCCCACTGACACCAATGATGGGGCACTATTCCTCCCACTGACACCAATGATGGGGCACTATTCCTCCCACTGATACCAATGATGGGGCACTATTCCTCCCACTGACACCAATGATGGGGCACTATTCTTCCCACTGACACCAATGATGAGGCACTATTCCTCCCAAGGACACCCACAATGGGGCACTATTTCTCCCACTGACACCCACAATGGGGCACTATTCCTCCCACTGACACCAATGATGGGGCACTATTCCTCCCACTGATACCAATGATGGGGCACTATTCCTCCCACTGACACCAATGATGGGGCACTATTCCTCCCACTGACACCAATGATGAGGCACTATTCCTCCCAATGACACCCACAATGGGGCACTATTCCTCCCACTGACACCCACGATGGGGCACTATTCCTCCCACTGACACCCGCGATGGGGCACTATTCCTCCCACTGACACCCACGATGGGGCACTATTCCTCCCACTGACACCCACGATGGGGCACTATTCCTCCCACTGACACCAATGATTGGGCACTATTCCTCCCACTGACGCCAATGATTGGGCACTATTCCTCCCACTGACGCCAATGATTGTACACTATTCCTCCCACTGACGCCAATGATGGGGCACTATTCCTCCCACTGACGCCAATGATGGGGCACTATTCCTCCCACTGACGCCAATGATGGGGCACTATTCCTCCCACTGACGCCAATGATTGTACACTATTCCTCCCACTGACGCCAATGATGGGGCACTATTCCCCCCACTGACACCAATGATGGGGCACTATTCCTCCCACTGACACCAATGATGGGGGGCACTATTCCCCCCACTGACACCAATGATGGGGCACTTTTCCCCCCACTGACACCAATGATGGGGCACTATTCCTCCCACTGACACCAATGATGGAGCACTATTCCTCCCACTGACACCAATGATGGGGCACTATTCCTCCCACTGACACCAATGATGGGACACTATTCCTCCCACTGACACCAACGATGGGGCACTATTCCTCCCACTGACACCAACGATGGGACACTATTCCTCCCACTGACACCAACGATGGGGCACTATTCATCCCACTGATACCAACGATGGGACACTATTCATCCCACTGACATCAGTGATGGGGCGCTAGTCCTCCCACTGCAAAATTACAGTTATGAAGTAGCAACGAAAATAATTTTATGGTTGGGGGTCACCACAACATGAGGAACTGTATTAAGGGGTCGCTGCATTAGAAAGGTTGAGAACCACTGCCTTAGAGTGTTTGCTTTTCAAAATGTGGTCATTTTGTGGGTGTTTCTGCTCACCTGGTGCTCCAAGGCCTCCAAAACGGTCATAGATAGTCAGGAAATTAGATGTGTAAAATGTGCTCCTTGAAAGCCTAAAGGTGCTCCTTGAATTTTGGACCCGTCCATGCATCTAGGCCGGGTGTTGGCAACCTGCGGCTCCAGAGCCGCATGTGGCTCTTTTTCACCTTTGCTGCGGCTCCGGAGCACACTATGAATTACTATGGGGGATGAATTACTATGGGGGATGAATTACTATATGGGGGATGAATTACTATGGGGGATGAATTACTATATGGGGGATGAATTACTATGGGGGATGAATTACTATATGGGGGATGAATTACTATATGGGGGATGAATTACTATGGGGGATGAATTACTATATGGGGGATGTATTTTCAGTTTTAAAAATGTGGCTCTCAAAATAAATTTCAATCGTGGTTTTGGCGAGATTTGGCTCAGTTGAAAAAAAAGGTTGCCCACCACTGACCTAAGGCTATGATTGTGATTATGACGATACACTGTGGCCTTGATTAACCCTTTGCTTACTGGGCCCTTAAACCCCCTTCATGACCAGAGCGCTTTTTGCAATATATGCAGTGTCGGATTTGTTTTAAATGTTGCAATGGTTTTGCGGCTCCCAGTCTTTTTTTCCCTCTCGGAAACGGGTCCAAGTGGCTCTTTATGCCTTAAAGGTTGCAGACCCCTGATCTAGGCTGTTAAAAAGTCTCACACACTTGGTATGCTGTTATGCAGGAGGAGTAGCAGAATGTGTTTTGAGGTGTAATTGTAAGTACGCCTATGCTGTGTGTGAGAAATAACTTGTTAAAATGACAACTTTGTGTAAATTTTCTTCCCTGCATTTCCAAAATGGCATAAAAATTACATTTTCTAAAGATTAACTATGCCTTTCAGAAAATACCTTGGAGTGCTTGCTTTCCAAAAAAGTAGTAATTTTGTGGGTGTTTCTGCTGACCTGGTGCTCCAAGGCCTCCAAAATTGTCATAGATAGGAAATTAGATGTGTAAAATGTGCTCCTTGAAAGCCCAAAGGTGCTCCTTGAATTTTGGACCCTGTTAAAAAGTCTCACACACTTGGTATCCTGTTATGCAGGAGGAGTAGCAGAATGTGTTTTGGGGTGTAATTGTAAGTACATCTGTGCTGTGGGAAAACAACTCGTTAAAATGACAACTTTGTGAAAAAACAAATTTTATTTAGTTTCATTTAAAAGAAAAATTGTGACACAAAATAACAAATCACCATGCCTCTTACGAATTCCCTAGGACTGTCTACTTTCCAAAAAAGGGGTCATTTGGTGGTATTTATGTTGTCCTGGCATTTTAGGGCCTCAAGAAATGAGATGAGCTGTCAGTACGTTACTTTTCTTATATATATTTCATCGTTTGTAGATTCTTTAACCTTCACGCAGATTAAATAATATACAAATGATTTAGGTGAGGTTAGTTTGGAGCAGAAAACATTTTGGCCTGCATTTATGAAGAAAGTATTTTGCTAAATTTTGTAACAAAAATTAAAATATATATATTTTTTTTTCCTTTTTGTTTTTTTTCCCTTTATATAGCAAACAATAAAAAAAGTGGGTGAATAAATACCACCAAAAGAAAGCTCGATGTGTCTAAAAAAAAATGATATAAAATTCATTTTAGTAGTGTTGCGTGACATTCAATGTGGGAAAAATGGCCCGGACAGGAAGGGGGTGACACCGTCCGGTCCTGAAGTTGTTCAGAATTTATAAATCCTGTAAATAATGTGCTTGGTAATGCCTTAAAACTGCATGTGAAGTTTCACGCTAGTACAATAAACTCCTTTAAAGAAAAAACACAGATAAATGAGTTTCCTGCCAGCTTTATTCTCTTTGTAAACTAAAAGGCTGGGTGACATCGACCAAATATGGCCAATTGTTACTGCCGCTATATGACGGACCTCGTGGTTGTTTACAAACATCAGCTGGAGGTTCATGCCGGTGAACTGGTCAAATGTGGCCAGTTGATCTGCTCAGAACTGGGAACAGGCTGGATTCAAGTGAACCCTTTTCTCTCACCATGATGTCCTCCATGGAAGCTTCTGCTGAAGGTCAGGGGAGATCAGACTACACTGCTAGAGGGACCCAACCAGCAGTGACCCCCTCCTCCTTCTCTCTCACCATGATATCCTCCATGGAAGCTTCTGCTGAAGGTCAGGGGAAATCAGACTACTCTGGTAGAGGGACCCAACCAGCAGTGACCCCCTCCTCCTCTCTCACCATGATATCCTCCATAGAAGCTTCTGCTGAAGGTCAGGGGAGATCAGACTACACTGCTAGAGGGACCCAACCAGCAGTGACCTTCCCTCCTCCTCTCTCACCATGATGTCCTCCATGGAAGCTTCTGCTGAAAAACAGGGGAGATCAGACTACACTGCTAGAGGGACCCAACCAGCAGTGACCCCCCCTCCTTCTCTCTCACCATGATGTCCTCCATGGAAGCTTCTGCTGAAGGTCAGGGGAGATCAGACTACACGGCTAGAGGGACCCAACCAGCAGTGACCCCCCCCCCTCCTTCTCTCTCACCATGATGTCCTCCATGGAAGCTTCTGCTGAAGGTCAGGGGAGATCAGACTACACTGCTAGAGGGACCCAACCAGCAGTGACCCCCCCCCCTCCTTCTCTCTCCTAGCAGAGGAAGCCAGACACAACTTGGAAGTCTTTAGTGATCTCCGATCACCTTATAAAGTGTTTTTTCCATGATAAAGATCAGAGGAGCGCTCAGCCACGTGTTTTCTGAGGTGTATATCAAGGTGTGCTTCTTCCCAGTGTGAAATCTCTGAGGTTCGGCAACATATCATCCATAGAGAAGACATTTCCTGCAATCAGGACACCTCGAGGGTTAGGTGCTTCCTCTGATGTTTGATAAGCCAGGACTTCCTTGAAAAAAATTTCCCGCATTCAGAGCAGGAATACGGATTTTCTCCCGTGTGAGATCTCTGATGTGTAACAAATTCTGACATTCGTTTATAACATTTCCCGCACTCAGGGCAGGAGAACAGCTTTTCCCGCGTGTGCCATTTCTGGTGTTTGACAAGACCGAACTTCCGTGAAAAACATTTTTCCCGCACTCGGGACAGGAATACGGATTCTCACCGGTGTGAGATCTTCGATGGGTGTTAAATGGAGTCTTATGTGAAAAACATTTCCCACATTCAGGGCACAAGTATGGCTTCTCCCCCGTGTGAGACCTTTGATGTATAACAAGTTCGGAATTCCGCGTATAACATTTCCTGCACTCGGAGCAAGAATACAGCTTTTCACCCGTGTGCACTCTTTGATGTCGGGAAAGATGTATCCTCTGTGAAAAAGAGTTCCCACACTCAGAACAAGAATACGGCTTTTCACCTGTGTGCACTCTCTGATGCTTGGAAAGACAAGACTTCCCGGAAAAACATTTCCCACACTCTGGGCAGGAATACGGCTTCTCCCCCGTGTGAGATCTTTGATGTGTGACAAGGTACGCTTTTCGTGGGAAACATTTCCCGCACTCAGGACATACATACGGATTATCCCCTGTGTGAAGTCTGTAATGTATAACAAGTGTTGATTTTTGTAGAAAACATTTCCCGCACTCAGAACAGAAATGAAGCTTCTCCCCCGTGTGGCATTTCTGATGTTCAGCAAGGCTTAATTCAGAGCTAAAACTTTCCCCACATTCAGGACAAGGAAATGTCTTCTTCCCCTGAATCCCGGCCCCATCCCCCACAATACGAGGTTGCTCAGAGTTAGAGGGATTCCATGGTCTCTCCACACTGGGAAGTCCACCATCCATAGTGGAGCTCATTGTCTTTTCTCCGGCACAATCTCCTGGGATGTCCTCATCTTCCATTTTACAACCTGTAGATAAAGTGAGACGATCCTTTGAGGGTTTCTCCATGGCGGGTCCTGGAAAAATAGAAAAACATCATCAATAGATAGGAGGGGGTTAGTTCACTTCCATCAAGATTCCATCTGTATCAGGGAGATAGGAGGGAGCAGATGTTCTCGGTTGATGTCCCAACCAGCTGGGACTCCTCCCCTCTTCAGTCAAAGGGCCTTTGGTCCTCCCAGATCACTTCTACATTTACACCGCCTTGTCAGAGGAGCAGGAACCAATGGGGGCTGTAACAGAGCAGAGATAAGAGTAGAATATATTCTGGTCACCTGTGCTGATCTCTGTAGGAGTGTCCTCCTCTATGAATGTCCTCCTCATTCCAGCCTCCTCCGTATATTGCTGATCATCCCTCACATACGTCTCTTCTTCAATTTTAACTTTTATGATATTCAGAGGTAACATCTGTAACATAGAAGGATTTATGATGTGAGATCACATAGAAAATCTAATCTTGTACAGTTCACACATCGTCTCCACATGTCAAGAGTGTTCAAGCACCTTATGTTACCAATCCTCAACTCCACCTACCTGATGAGGGATGGTGTGACCTTCCTGTGTGGAATCGCGGGAATACAGAGGACAGGGACATCTCTCTGGTGGGTTCCTGGTATTAGCTGGTCCCATCATGATGTCCTTGTAGAAATCTTTCTGTCCTTCAGAGAGCTTCTTCACCACACACCATACTCATCATGCTCCTCTTTATACTCTTCTTTAACAATATTATGACCCCTAAGAACAGACATGATGGGGGGTTACTGGGTGTAAATAGAAAATCAGATCTTATTACCTCCTCTGCTGCCACTTCCAGCAATGTCTCCTCTCTACATCCTCCCACCTCACCTGGAACTTCCTATTTATACCTGACATCACTTCCTGTCCTTCATAGAGACTTCCTGTCTGGGTAGAAGTGAGATCACCACCTTGTGGAGCTCAGAGGAACTGCAGCCCCGAGAACCGTCTGGTAGTGTGACCCCGGCCTTGTGCTGGGTGTGTATGGACTGTATGTCCTCATAGAGGGGTCACCTCCACTCCCACCAAGGGGGACAGAAATATATTCTACAAACATTAACATGTTGTCTGCTGCACTTCACCTCTTAATCCATACAGGATGAAAAAATTATATATAAAGTGTCAAAAAATAAATAGAATTACAATTATGGATGAGTTGCGTTTGTTGCTGTCATTAGGCGAGTGACTTTGCCACGTTTGGACATTGGGTTTATATTTATAGGAAGCATCATGATTGATGATGGATGTACATCATGGGACGATTGATGATGGATGTACATCATGGGACGATTGATGGATGTACATCGTGGGACGAGTGACGATGGATGTACATCGTGGGACGATTGATGGATGTACATCGTGGGACGATTGATGGATGTACATCGTGGGACGATTGACGATGGATGTATATCGTGGGACGATTGACGATGGATGTACATCGTGGGACGATTGACGATGGATGTACATCGTGGGACGATCGATGATGGATGTACATCATGGGAACGATTGATGATCGATGTTCATCATGGGACTTTTTTATACTAATGGACTCCTTTGTGGGGTTTTTCTTTACACTTTACATTTTCCGGAGGATTGAGTAGGGTACTAATTTAAATATGGGTGGGCAGTAGCTAGGTGTTACTGTTAAAGGGGGCTTACAGATTTTGCAAAGCCCACTGCCATTAGACCCCCCACAACCACCAGGCCTAGGTTGTGGGGAAGAGGCCCTTGTCTTCATCAACAAGGGAACAAGGTGCTTTTCCAGGGGTCCCCCCCTGAAAGGTATGCCCTATGTTGAAGGTGCGTGACCTGTTTTTTTGCCCTACCAGGCTGCATGCTCGGATAAGGGTCTTGTATGGACTATTAGGGGTACCCTGAGGAAGTCACGTGATCAGCGTGACGCAAAGCGTCGGTGCGCGAGGAGGATTCTGGGAAGCGCGGTGACGTCATTTCCGGCGTGGCGGCCATATTTGAAACCCCTATATCCAATACCCATGCAAGGCAGGCATAGCATGAAGTTAAGGAGCCATATGTTTACATAAAGATGAATCATCATGTGAGTATTTATCTCTGTGTATAGTCGATTTAATAAATGCGGTTTTACACTATGAGAGTCTTCTGTTTATGCATGAACGTGACTATAGAGTATACAGCCCTGGGGAGGATCCTGTGATACACCTGAGTGGTGTCTGTCTCTTAAGGCGAGTTGCCCCTGTAGGATCTTTGTAAGGAGGAACCGGAGAGGAAGCTGGCTATAGAGCATACATCGCTGGGGAGGATTCTGTGATATACCAGAGTGGTGTCTGTTCCCTAAAGCGAGTTGACCCTGCAGGGTCTATGTAAGGAGGTGAGGGGCCATTGCAGCTACTTTTGGATATACACAGTGTGGACACTTGACATCACCTGCATGAAGATTGTGTATTAGATACACTATATATATATGGACATGTTCACATAGAGTGGAGATTTCTTTATTAGAGTATTTTGTGATATATAGTTTGTTTGGTCACTTGGTCACTTTTGAATATTCCCTTTTTAGGGAATACACGGATTGCACTTTATTGAATAATATTGATCACTTGGTCACTTTGATTATTCCCGGTGGGAATACACGTGTTACACTTTATTTGCACTGTTGCACGTTTATATGATATATATTGATTGAGCATTAATTTATTTATATATATGTATGTTTGTTTTAGTATTTAGTTCTGCACTATTTATTTATTAATTTATTTAACTCACATTGGTAGGAGGTTAAGTGTCAGCACCTATAGGGATAGGGCCTCATTCTGAGCGCAGGAAGTTGTTTCTTTATTTATTACTGTCAGAATTTGGTGTCCCTTTAGAAGGTTCAGTGCTGAAGAGACAGCTTGACACTTCTGAGCTCTAAAATGTTGACAGGGAGTTGATAATGATGATGGCCTCCTCCCTTGACCATGTTCCTTAAACCTTCAATGATTGGAAGACTCCTCCCCAGCCTCATAGACTTGCATCTGTTGCAAGAACTTTCCAATTGCTGAGGAAGCAGGATTTTCCCACTGTCAGAGTTCAAGTGGTGATCCACGAGAACAGGGAACTTCTTGTTTGGGGGGATAGAAGCATAGGCAAAACCAGGGAAAGAGCCTGCTGATCGCATTTTAAGTTGGAGAGCATTTGATGGAGAGTCTTTGATGGAACTGGGTGTAGGGTACTGTCCCGAAGAAGGAAACCATTAGACCCAAAGCTCCCATGGTGAATCTTGCTGTAAGATCCCTCTTGGATCTCAGTTGTTAGGCAGTAGATCTTAAAGAAGGAACTTTCTTTTCTGGAAGAAAGAACTTTGCCTGAGATGTATCTAGGGCTAAACCCAATGCCCAGCACGGAAGTTAAACAACTTGAAAAGTTGATTGCAAGAACCTTCCAATTGCTGAAGATGGAGGATTTTCCCACTGTCAGAGTTGAAGTGGTGATCCACGAGAACAGAGAACTTCTTGTTTGGGGGGGATAGAAGCATAGGCAAAAGCAGGGAAAGAGCCTGCTGATAGAATATTAAGTTGGAGAGCACTTTGATGGAACTGGGTGTAGGTACTGTTCCAAAGAAGGAAACCATTAGACCCAAAGCTTCCATGGTGAATCTCACTGTGAGATCCCTCTTAGATCTCAGTTGTTAGGCAGTAGATATTAAAGAAGGAACTTTCTTTTCTGGAAGAAAGAACTTTGCCTGAGATGTATCTAGGGTTAAACTCAATACCCAGCACGGAAGTTAATCAGCTTGAAAAGGTAAATACATTCCAAATATGGCCACACTTTGCACAGTAATGCTCAAATATACAGGGTGACCCTGAATATAAAGTATAGACTTGGCCACCATGGTGGGCATACCTCCGAAGGGCTCTTCAAGGAGTGGGTCCGATGGGCTCTTCAGGGAGTGGGTCCAAAGAGCTCTTCAGGGAGTGGGTTCTGTTGTGATGGACCTTAGCCCTGGACCTGTTTAGCACCCCTCAGCTAACTCAACATGTTGCACCAAGTGACAAGATGAGCTCCCCACATAGGATCCAATTATACAAGGCCTAAAATTCCACGGCGTATCAATAGGTTGCCCCTTGTGCTGTACTGTACAACTAAGATATTGTGATTTTAGGGATAGAACTATTTCAATTTTATTTCATGCGTGACATGTTGAATCCAAAAATGTCATTTTTTTTCACTTTCAGCCAGCAGGCGGCGCTCTTCAAGAAAATTAATTTTGCCTCTGCAACATAACTACTGCACTCAAAATGTGAGTTCTATCATTTAATCTGATCTTTTTTTTTTTTTTTATTCATCCACAAGAAATATTTAGCTCCTCTCCCAGCTTTATTGATCACTTTACATCCACCCTATATCTGTCTATAGCAGTTTTACTGCTACAGGGCGGCTCTCCTGTGCACAATTCTACAAATATATATGCGTGTACCTCAGTTTACGGACGCCTCGGTTAACGTAATTTTCAGATTACGAATGAAAATCCATTGAAAATAACGCCTCGGTTTGCTAACTTTGTTTTTTTATCATGTCCTTGTACAGTATTTATGCCTTTAAAGTGCACTTTATAAAGAGTTTTGAACAGATAAAATACTTTTTTTTTTACTTTTTTCTGACCTCCGGAACGGATTAATTGGTTTTCAGTGCATTTACTAATTAATTTTTTTATTATGTCCATGTACAGTATTTATGCCTTTAAAGTTCACTTTATAAAGAATTTTGAACAGATAAAAGACTTTTTTTTTTTACTTTTTTCTGACCTCCAGAACAGATTAATTGGTTTTCAATGCATTTACGAATTAATTTTTAATCATGTCCCTGTACAGTATTTATGCCTTTAAAGTTCACTTTATAAAGAATTTTGAACAGATAAAAGACTTTTTTTTTTTACTTTTTTCTGACCTCCAGAACAGATTAATTGGTTTTCAATGCATTTATGAATTAATTTTTAATCATGTCTTTGTACAGTATTTATGCCTTTAAAGTGCACTTTATAAAGAGTTTTGAACAGATAAAAGACTTTTTTTTTTTACTTTTTTCTGACCTCTGGAATGGATTAATTGGTTTTCATTTATGAATTATTTTTACAAATTTTGTAATTTTAATCATTTAAAGTGCACTTTATAAAGAGTTTAACAGATAAGACTTTTTTTTTTTTGCTGCTGACCTTGGAAAAGGATTAATTGGTTTTCAATGCATTTACAAATTAATTAATCATGTCCCTGTACAGTTTTATGCAAAGTGCACTAAAAAGAGTTTTCAACAGATAAGACTTTTTTTTTTTACTTTTTTTGGACCTCCGGAACAGAATAATTGGTTTTCAATGCATTTAAGAAATTAATTTTTAATCATGTCCCTGTACAGTATTTATGCCTTTAAAGTGCACTTTATAAAGAGTTTTGAACAGATAAAAGACTTTTTTTTTTGTACTTTTTTCTGACCTCCGGAACAGGTTAATTAGTTTACAATGCATTCCTATGGGAAACGGCATTTCGGTTTACTCATTTTTCACAATACGAAATGTCCCACAGAAGGAATTAAATTTGTAAACCGAGTTACGCCTGTATATGTGATTTTAGAACCTCCGCCTCATGGTGGTGCGTGAGCGCTGCTGATGCGGTGGGTCGCTTCTCCTGTGAGCGGTCACAGAAGAAGCTTATCTGCAAATCCCGGTAAACGGATCTTCACCGCCACCTGCACATTGTCGGGCAGGGAGGAAGAACAGGGGAAAGTGATGGATCATGTGTCCCTGCAGAGCTGGGAAGACGATCCATCACTTCCTCTTGTAGCAACACCACCTAGTGTACAGCAAGCACATAGCTAGGCACACACTTAACCCTCTTGATCACCCTAGGTGTTAATGATGAGCTGTTGGGTCTCAGTTCAGTTTTCTGAAGGACCCGCAAAACACAGCCTAAAGTTCCCAAATGCTAAATACAGCAAAACAAAAAAACAAAACACTGAAGTCTATGGAAGCCAAAAATTTTTATTTTTTTTTTTACACAGGCGTTTTTTAAAAAAAAAACATAAGAAGGGGGTGGGTTTAAGGGCAACACAAAACTGCATAAATCTTTTAATCGCCTTCCACCCGCCATAAGGAAATGACGGACGGGCGGCGTTTCTCTCTTTCAGGGAGGAAGTCATATGACGTCCTCCCACTCTAACTGCCCATGTGCGCCCCTGGGGGCGCGTGGCACGGCGATTGGTGAGCTGTGTCCCTGGGACACAGTGGATCACCGATCAGAGGAAACAACAGATATCGTCGGCTCTGCCATGTGACCAATCACAGCTGATTGCATGTAAACAAGGAAATGCCGGTTTTTGGCAATCTTCTCCTCCTGCTGACAGCTCATGAGGAGAGAAGAGCTGGTAATCGGAATTCCTCAGAGGGGACATGTACACTGATCATCAGGGCACAGATCATCAGTGTAGCCCCATCAATGCCACATATCAGTGCCTACCAGTGCACATCAATGCCAAATAACAGTGCCCATCAGAGCTGCCTTTCAGTGCCACCTATCAGTGCTGCCTAACGGTTCCAATCAGTCCCACGTATCAGTGCTCATCAGTACCGCCTATCAGTGTCATATTTGAGTGCTGCCTTTCAGTGCCCATCAGTGATGCTTGTCAAACCCCACCAGTGATGCCTCTCAATGCCCATCAGTGCCAGCTACCAGTGCCTCCTCATTAGTGCCACATATGAGTGCTGCCTGTCAATGCCCACCAGTGATGCCTGTCAATGCCCATCAGTGCCAGCTACCAGTGCCTCCTCATTAGTGCCACATGAGTGCTGCCTTTCAGTGCCCATCAGTGATGCCTGTCAATGCCCACCAGTGATGCCTGTCAATGCCCATCAGTGCCACCTACCAGTGCCTCCTCATCAGTGCTATCTGTGCCCCATGATAGCAGCCTCATTAGCGCACCTCAGTGAAGGAGAAAAATTGCTTATTTACAAAATTTTATAAAAAACTTTTTTTCACAATTTAAATTTTTAGTTTATTTAGCAAAAAATAACCCCCACCCCAGTGGCGATTAAATACCACCAAAAGAAAGCTCTATCTGTCTCAAAAAAATTATAGAAATGTTAGTTTGGGTACAGTGTTGCATGACCGCGCAATTGTCATTCAAAGTGTGAGAGTGCTGAATTCTTGAATGAATATTGGCCGGGGCAGGAAGGGGTAGAGTGTCTGGTAGGCAGGAAGGGGGTAGAAGTGCCCGGTAGGCAGGAAGGGGGTAGAAGTGTCCGGTAGGCAGGAAGGGGGTAGAAGTGTCCTGTAGGCAGGAAGGGGGTAGAAGTGTCCGGTAGGCAGGAAGGGGGTAGAATCGCCCTGTAGGCAGGAAGGGGGTGGAATCGCCCTGTAGGCAGGAAGGGGGTAGAAGTGCCCTGTAGGCAGGAAGGGGGTGGAATCGCCCTGTAGGCAGGAAGGGGGTAGAAGAGTCCGGTAGGCAGGAAGGGGGTAGAAGTGCCCAGTAAGCAGGAAGGGGGGACAGTGCCCAGTAGGCAGGAAGGGAGAAGAAGTGCCCGGCAGATAGGAAGGGGGTAGAAGTGCCCGGCTGGCAGGAAGGGGGTAGAGTGTCCGGTAGGCAGGAAAGGGGGTAGAAGTGTCCGGTAGGCAGGAAGGGGGTAGAAGTGCCGGTAGGGAGGAAGGGGGTAGAAGTGTCCGGTAGGCAGGAAGGGGGTAGAAGTGTCAGGTAGGCAGGAAGGGGGTAGAAGTGTCCGGTAGGCAGGAAGGGGGTAGAAGTGCCGGTAGGGAGGAAGGGGGTAGAAGTGTCCAGTAGGCAGGAAGGGGGTGGAAGTGCCCGGTAGGCAGGAAGGGGGTGGAAGTGCCCAGTAGGCAGGAAGGGGGTGGGAGTGCCCGGTAGGCAGGAAGGGGGTAGAAGTGTCCGGTAGGCAGGAAGGGGGTAGAAGTGCCCGGTACGCAGGAAGGGGGTAGAAGTGCCCGGTACGCAGGAAGGGGGTAGAAGTGCCCGTTAGGGAGGAAGGGGGTAGAAGTGCCCGGTAGGCAGGAAGGGGGGTGACAGTGCCTGGTAGGCAGGAAGGGGGTAGAAGTGCCCGGTAGGCAGGAAGGGGGTAGAAGTGTCCAGTAGGCAGGAAGGGGGTGGAAGTGCCCGGTAGGCAGGAAGGGGGTGGGAGTGCCCGGGAGGCAGCAAGTGGGTGACAGTGCCCGGTAGGCAAGGGGTTAAACAATAAAAAAAAAGTAAAAAAAAAAAACAAAAAACTAATACCGATAAATGACAGTTCCCTGCCAGCTCTGTTTGTAAACAAAGCCGCTGGGTGATGTCATTGACCACATATGATCAGGACCATTTGTTACTGCCGCTGTATGACAGACCTCCGGCTCATGGAAGTTTGCAAAAACGGGTGGAACATGTAACATGATCCCAAAGGTGAACTTATCCTTCAATACTCCTCATAGGTTCTGTGGGTTCTCTGATGTTTGATAAGCCAGGACTTCCGTGAAAAACATTTCCCGCACTCAGAACAGGAATATGCATTGTCCCCCGTGTGAGATCTCTGATGTATGACAAATTCTGGTTTCCGTTTATAACACTTCCCGCACTCAGGGCAAGAAAACAGCTTTTCCCGCATATGGGTTCTCTGATGTTTAAGAAGATTGAACTTCCGTGAAAAGCACTTCCCGCACTCAGGACAGGGATACGGATTCTCACCCGTGTGAGACCTCTGATGGATGTTAAGTTGGGACTTATGTGAAAAACATTTCCTGCACTCAGGACAGGAATACGGCTTCTCCCCCGTGTGAGATCTTTGATGTATGACAAGGTCTGATTTTCGTGTATAATATTTGCCGCACTCTGGGCAGGAATACGGTTTCTCCCCCGTGTGCGAGCTCTGATGTCTGGAAAGATGGGTCTTCTGCGAAAAACATTTCCCGCAATCTGGGCAGGAATACGGCTTCTCCCCCGTGTGACACCTCTGATGGGTGTTAAGTTGGGGCTTATTTGAAAAACATTTCTCACACTCAGTGCACGAATACGGCTTCTCCCCCGTGTGAGATCTTTGATGTATGACAAGGTATGATTTTCGTGGAAAACATTTCCCACATTCAGGGCAGAAATATGGCTTCTCCCCCCGTGTGAGTTCTGTGATGTACAATAAGTGCTGATTTCTGAAGAAAACATTTCCCGCACTCAGAACAGAAAAGAAGCTTCTCCCCCGTGTGATATTTTTGATGTTCAGTAAGACTTAATTCTGAGTTAAAAGTTCCCCCACAATCAGGACAAGGAAATTTCCTCTCCCCCTGAATCCCTGCCCCATTCCCCACAGTACGAGGTTGCTCAGAGTCAGAGGGATTCCATGGTCTCTCCACACTGGGAAGTCCACCATCCATAGTGCAGCTCATTGTCTTTTCTCCAGCACAATCTCCTGGGATGTCCTCATCTTCCATTTTACAACCTGGAGATAAAGTGAGACGATCCTTTGAGGGTTTCTCCATGGCGGGTCCTGGAAAAATAGAAAAACATCATCAATAGATAGAAGAGGGTTAGTTCACTTCCATCAAGATTCCATCTGGATCAGGGAGATAGGAGGGAGCAGATGTTCTCTGTGGATGTCCCAACCAGCTGGGACTCTTCCCCTCTTCAAAGAGCCTTTGGTCCTCCCAGATCACTTCTACATTTACACCGCCTTGTCAGAGGAGCAGGAACCAATGGTGGATGGGAGGGGGGGGCGGTAACAGGGCAGAGATAAGAGAAGAATATATTCTGGTCACCTGTGCTGATCTCTGTAGGAGTGTCCTCCTCTATGAATGTCCTCCTCATTCCAGCCTCCTCCGTATATTGCTGATCATCCCTCACATACGTCTCTTCTACTTCACCCTCAACTTTCATGTTCATCAGATCTTCACCCTAAACCAACAAAATGGCAGAAAATAACATCTGTAACATAGAAGGATTTATGATGTGAGATCACATAGAACATCTCATCTTGTAGAGTCCACACATCGTCTCCACATGTCAGAGTGTTCCATCACTTTATGTTCCCGACCCTCAACTCCACCGACCTGATGATGGTGAGGGATGGTGTGACCTTCCTGTGTGGAATCCTGGGAATACAGAGGACGGGGACATCTCTCTGGGGGGTTCCTGGTATTAGGTGGCTCCATCATATCCTTGTGTCCTTCTAAAAACTCCTCCATCACTCCATACTCCTCATCCTCCTCTTTACACTCTTCTTTCACATCAATATTTCTATTCCCGAGGTTTCCATTCTGAATATATAGTAAGACAGATATTGTAACAAACATACTTGTGTATAAATCATAACTGTGAATAATTGTCAATCATCGACCTGACACACACAATGATACCGTCACCATCCAGACACATCCCTTGTCTGTTACTGGAGAATGTCCCAGAATTCCTGGCACCGCTCACCTCTCCCTGTTAGCAGCTCCATCATCTTCTTGGTGACTTCTAGAATCTTCTGCATGTTGTGTCTCTCAGGATTTAGGGAGTCACATGGAGGCACTGTGATGGTCATATGATCACCTGACTTCAGAGGAGAAAATCTCTGTATTGGGGAACCAATAGGAACATCATGTTAGACTCCCAGAATCCTCCTCATCTCTCCGGTCAGGTCTGTGTTTTATTAATAGAGATAAGAGTGATGTCATGTGACCTCCCAGAATCCTCCTCACCTCTCCGGTCAGGTCTGTGTTTTATTAATAGAGATAGGAGTGATGTCATGTGACCACCCAGAATCCTCCTCACCTCTCCGGTCAGGTCTGTTTTATTAATAGAGATGAGAGTGATGTCATGTGACCTCCCAGAATCTTCCTCACCTCTCCGGTCAGCAGGTAGATGATCTCCAGGGTGAGGTTTAGTATTCTCTCAGTCATGTGACTCCGGTCCGCCTCCATCCTCATTGGTCATGTGATCTATACAGGTTTCCTGTAGACCAATAATTGATGAGACAATTATCCGGACTGTACTGGTTCAGCTTTGTTGCCATGGGGATGTATGAATGTAATAACATATTAAATGTTTCAGTACTTATAATGTTTCCTAGTGCTGTAGGTGATCGCTGTAATGGTTTCGATAAACCAGTCAGCAGGATGAAAAAGAAGTGTAACCTTTCTAGGCCACAGAAAGTCTTTAAAAAGTACAAACAAATGAGAATAAATACCAAGAAGGTGATACATTTCCAAAATGAAGAGAATGTTCCGGCCTGAGTGTACATATAAAATCAGATCTTATTACCTTCTCTGCTGCCACTTCCGGCAATGTCTCCTCTCCACTTCCTCCAGATTTACCTGGAACTTCCCGTCTGTCCCTAACATCACTTCCTGTCTTCCATAGAGACTTCCTGTCTGGGTAGATCCCCACGGTGTGGAGATCAGAGGAACTGCAGCCCCGAGAACCGTCTGGTAGTGTGACCCCAGCCTTGTGTTGGGCGTGTATGGACTGTATGTCCTCATAGAGGGGTCACCTCCACTCCCACCAAGGGGGACAGAAATAGATTCCTGATTGGGATAGGATATACAGTCCATACACAACCAGCACAAGGCCGGGGCCACACTACCAGACGGTTTCAGGGATGCAGTTCCTCTGAGCTCCACAAGGTGGGGATCTCACTTCTACCCAGACAGGAAGTCTCTATGTAAGACAGGAAGTGATGTCAGCTACAGACAGGAAGTGATGTCAGGTATAAATAGGAAGTTTTGGGTGAGAGGGGAGTCCAGGAGGAAGTAGAAAGGAGACATTGCTGGAAGTGGCAGCAGAGGAGGTAATAAGATCTGATTTTATATTTACACCTAGTAACCCCCCATCATGCCTGTCTTCTTCCTTCATCGTCATGTCCGTCCTGTTCCTCCATCGTCACGCCCGTCCTCATCCTCCATCGTCACGCCCGTCCTCATCCTCCATCGTCACCCCGTCCTCATCCTCCATCGTCACGCCCGTCCTCATCCTCCACCGTCACGCCCGTCCTCATCCTCCACCGTCACGCCCGTCCTCATCCTCCACCGTCACGCCCGTCCTCATCCTCCACCGTCACGCCCGTCCTCTTCCTCCACCGTCACGCCCGTCCTCCACCGTCACGCCCCGTCCTCTTCCTCCACCGTCACGCCCGTCCTCTTCCTCCACTGTCATGTCTGTCCTCTTCCTCCATCATCTCGCCTGTCCTCTTCCCTCCATCATCTCGCCTGTCCTCTTCCATGGAACCCTGGATGAAGAAGAATGCTCCCCACACTTGTGGTCATTGGGAAGAGTTACCACCTTACAGATAGCAAAAATGATCAGTGGTGTCAGTGGGAGCTTTTCTAAGAGGCAGAAATTGCTCATTACTCAAGGGGCCTCTAGCAACCTCTGGAGGAACCCTAGATTTCCATGGCACCTGGATGGAGGAAGAATGCTCCTTACACTTGTGGTCATTGGGAAGAATTAGCCCCTTACAGATAGCAAAAATGATCAGTGGTGTCAGTGGGAACTTTTCTGAGAGGCAGAAGTTGCTCATTACTCAAGGAACCCCTAGCAACCTCTGGAGGAACCCAAGGGATCTATAGAACCCTGGTTGAGAAACCTACTTTAAAAGATCATCATTGCTACCAGAGATAAAATAAGAAAACCTCCATGTGGAGGATGATGGTGTGTTTGAGGATCGCTCACAACTATCATGGCTGAAAACATTGTGGCCAATCGGCTCCTGCTAATTATTGCTCAGTGCCTCTGGCTGGTTATTAGACCTCCTATGATCTGGTAGTCCAACCATCTGGTAAACAGTTTGTTTGTCTTCTGGTGATGGAGCTCTGAAGTGGATGCACACAGGATCATTTCTGTACTGTATTGGCCACTTTTGGCCGTTTAAAGGACATTTGGTTCCTAGGCCCTTACAGTTTATTCTTTGGTCACATTTGTGTTTTCGCTCCGATTTGTTATTATTGTTCACATATTTTTATATTTTTTATAAAGAAAAAAATTTTTTGTTAAAGGTACAACGCAGCTACTTTTACTTTCCTTTTAAATTCAATGGGGTTTTGGATTTAGAATCCTATGTTCCCTAAACATGCGTCAGATCAAACCCAGGTATGTTCAGCTCAGGGGCGCACTGACAACACGTGGGGCCCCCGGGCAATAGGGGATCATGGGGGCCCCTGTGTCCTTGCCCAAACTCAAAAAAGCCTATTAAAAAGGTACCAGGGGCATCTCATGGGACCCCCTATTGACCCCGGGCCCTCAGGCAGTGCCCGAGTTTCCAAATGGTCAGTCCGCCCCTGGTTCAGCTCATCCATTCCTCCCGATATTCTCATCCTTTTATTGTATGACTAGTCCGGATAACTCTCTGCTATCAATTTTACCTGTATACAGGGAAATCTTCATAGATGATGTCACAAATGAGGATGGAGGAGGACTGGAGTCACATGACTGAGAGGATACTAAACCTCGCCCTGGAGATCATCTACCTGCTGACCGGAGAGGTGAGGAGGATTCTGGGAGGTCACATGACATCACTCTCATCTCTGTTAATAAAACAGACCTGACCGGAGAGGTGAGGAGGATTCTGGGAGTCTAACATGATGTTCCTATTGGTTCCCCAATACAGAGATTTCCTCTTCTGAAGTCAGGTGATCATATGACCATCACAGTGCCTCCATGTGACTCCCTAAACCCTGAGAGACACAACATGCAGAAGGTTCTAGAAGTCACCCAGAAGATGATGGAGCTGCTGACAGGAGAGTGAGCGGTGCCGGGAATTCTGGGACATTCTCAATGGAGGAGTGGGAGTATTTAGAAGGACACAAGGACCTCTACAAGGACATGATGGACAATCAGCCGCCCCTCACATCACCGGGTAAGAGGAGACTTTATTGGAAAGGAGAGAGCAGTACGGAGGATCCACCTAGATCCCTCATCATCTGATAAACACATAGAAACAATGGATTCAGTCAGTGTGTGTGTTTATTACAG